AAAAGCTGGAACTAAACTTTGTATCTTTCAGTAAGGGATGGCTGAATTTGAGTATAGACAACAATGGAATATTATTCTGCCCCCAGAGAGAGGAAGGTGAACCCAGGTATCCATACATAGGTTATAAAAAAAAAAAAAAAGCAAGACAGATCAGCATGTATAAAAATTTCAGTAGACACACACATATTGATATAAATGCAATAGGACGTTGGAAAAACATAACTGTAGCTCCTTTGGGAAAGAGTACATAGGAACAGGGGGATTCAGGAGAAAGAGCAGAAGACAACACATTTCTATAGTGATTGAAAATTTCTCAAGTACCTTTTTATTAAAAAATTTTTTTCTTCTAAGAGAGACAAAGCATTCCAGAGTTTCTGTTCTATAATTTGTCTTCAGAATGTCTGGTCTAGACAAAGACTAGGGCTGTGAACTTGGGGTGTGAAGCTCAAGCCTTCACAAAGGAGTTGCAGGGAACAGAAACAGCCAGACTTGGAGACTGACCCATGGCTGGAGGCAGGAACAGAAGCAGTGAAAGTCCAGGAGAGTGAGGGTCAGCAGGCCAAGATCTGGCCAAGGTCTATATGGGTAGGGGGCTGATGTCCAGGAGGCCTCGGTTCCTCACCAGGGCACACGCTGATCCCTGAACAGGGGCAGTTTGCTCTGCCTGGAACCAGTCGATGGCTGGTAGGTCAGTGGCTGTGGGGGCTTCTGACCTGAGTGAGATAAGAATCTTATAACTGAGTCCAGCATTTGGAAGAGAGAGAGGCAGGACTTCAGCTGACATTTGAAGGTTGGTTGGTATCAGCAACCACAGCTGAGGCTGGCACAGAGTCTTCCCCAGCCCTCCCCCCATAGTAGCCAAGTGAACCTGACCCTGCCAGTCTACTCTCAGCAAGATTCATTAGGAGGGTGGCCTTTTACAAAGATCAGCACTTGCCCTAGATATATCCTTACTGGGTGAGTGTATATTTGGTGAGTATAAAAATGATTGGGATTTGAGGCTTAATTTACCCTGTGGAATTCTTCCCCAGCTTAAGATCAATACTGTGGCCAGCCTGGGCTAACTAGAAAATTGGCCAGTATTTTTCAGTTGACCACACTTCCACCTGGTCTTAGATTCCTAAATCCAGAATTGTCAGAATGGAAGCGACCCTTGAGGTCATTCTACTCAAATTCTTCATGTTACAGAAGGGAAAACTAAGGCCCAGAGAGGGGAGTGCCTTGCTTAGGGTCACACAGTGCCTGGTGTTAAGCACCTGAGACCTGCCATGGCGTATATAGCAGGCTAGCAGAGAGTGCTGACCCAGGAGTCCAAGGACAAATGTGGCTTGAGCTGGCCTCAGAGGTGCATGCAGCAGGCCCCCTCCCTGGAGGAGCACCAGGTCCACTCTTAGGTGCAGGCTAGATGTAGACCCCAGGCAGGCAGTCCTGGCCCAGTGAGACACCTGATGACACACCAGTCGCCTGTTTCCCTCATCCACCCCTTCCTTCTCACCTGGCCCTGGGAATTGTGTCAAACCCAGCCAATGAAGGCTTTCCCACCTCCCTTGGAGAGCCTTGTGACTCAGGGAAGAGAGAACACAGGACTCAATGGTCCTCCCTGGCCAACTGACCCCTGCTCAGACTGATCATTTCACCACCCAGTCACACGCAGGGTCCCATCCATCCATGGGAAGAGGCAAGGCTTACCACCAGCTAATGTCCTGGAGGGTGCTTTGAGATCCTTTCATGAAAGGGTCAATAGAAATAGTAATATAGTCAACTCTGCACAGTGGCACCTAAAGGCCTTTCTCACACACAGGTGCCGGCAGGGCAGGAGTCCCAGAGCAGCCCAGAGAACAGTTCTCTGTCTGCACTGCAGATGACAGCCACCTTGTCTGATTTTTCAGAAGGCTCAGCCCTTCTGTCCACCTCCACATGGATAAGTGAGGCCTGGGGTGATGTTGCCAGGATGGGCTCCCCCCATTAGCAGGCTACCCACTGCTTCCATCAGGCATGCTTTGTGGGGTTGGGGCATAAGTGGAAAAGCCACCTCTGCTGCTCACTGTGGAAACGGTGATGTCCCCAGGGGTCATGCCCCATGCTTCTATCTATCAATAGGGAACCCAAGACCACAGTGCCCATTGTGTCACTGAAGTCACAGAGAATCTCTATTAATGGAGGTGGGAAACAAGCCCTGGCTGAGGATCAGGAGGCACAGGATGGCCCCGCTCTGCTACCATTCCTGTGTGACTTTTAGCCCTCACCTGTCAAGTGAGGGAGTCAGACTACACAAGCCATCTCTAACAACCCTTTAGGAGACCATGGTGTGATAATTTTAGTCCTCACAGCAAAGATCAAAAGTTCATAACAGAAACCCAGAGACAGTTATAGCGCTTGTGCTTGGTTTCAGTCACAAGGTAAATATTCACTGTGAGGGAAAACTTTTATTCTGCTTTGCCTGGAATCATCTTGGCTCATTTTCTTTGTTCCTTCATATTTACTAGTAGTGACCCTTTTGCTCTCAAAAGCACCCCAGTTTGGATGATATGCTACATGGCTTCCTTATTAACTGAGATATAATGAAATGAGATTCCCTCCCTTCCCCACATTCAGCCTGCGTAGGGAGGATGCCTTCTCCACCCAAGTCAAAAGAGGCCTTTCACTGCTCAGAGAACTGTCTGTGCTGATTTGTGGTCTTCCATCCATGACTGCATTTGCTAGAGGAATATTATTGAAGACATAGATCACCTATATCATTCACTGCCCCTGACTGAAGTACCCCCTCCTATAAAAGTTCTTTTTAAGCAACCCTTTGCTTCTTGCAAAGGACTTAGATGTTTCGTCCTCTCTGACTGTAAGGACTCCATAATCTCCCTTTTTCTCCTTGGCTGCCAGGAAGCTCATATATGTATAGCTGAACTATGGAAACACTGTTAGTCCTTATGATTAGTATAGCTGTGTTCTTTTTATCCCACCAATCCTGACCTTCTGTCTTATTTGAATTTTCTTTGTTCAGACTTGAAATTCTTATTTATAGTTTTCCTATATTTATAATTTGTCCTTCTTCTACAAACCTGATTTTGTTATAGTTACTTTGAATTCTTTGTAAAAACAAGATAGAAAATAAACACAAAAGGAATAAACTTAGAGGATGTAATTTTTAGCTAAAAGGTCTATCACCTCCCTCTCCATAACATATCACAGCATCCTAAGCTCTGCCATTTGAGAGATAATTTTTTGAGTCTTACAGACTTGTTAACCTGAGCACCATGGGTGCTGGGGCATAGCATGCTTCAGGAGAAGAAGGAAGTGCAGAGGCACGGACTGCTCACTCAGGGCCTCACCCAAGGGAGATACACACCTGAGAATGGGCAAGGGAACAAATTCTGGTGCTGAAACATAGGACCTTAAGTAGGTGTCTTCCTTTGGTGTTCCTTAGTCTTCTCAATTGGAAAGTCAGGGAAATGGGGGAGATGGAGTCCACAGTGACTTCCAGCTTTGAAATTCTGACCATCCTCTTGGGAATAAGGGCCCTCAGGATGCTCCCAGAGCCCAGGAAGCCTAGACCACCTGACTTGCAGCTGGCCCTGGCATGGAGGCACGTACTTAGGGCTCCACACAGACCAATTTTACCCCTAAACTGGGCAAGGATCTCTACCCTGAGCTACTTCCAGGGCATCCCTGAGGCACCCATCAGACAAGGAAAGGATCCAAACCTGGAGGAACCTTCTAGAATAATCCTGCTGGCAATTACTTGGATCAATTAGGTGGTTGTACAAGTGTTCTTTTGTGAGTTTTCACAGGCTGTGACAGTAGTTTGCAGCTTTGCCTTGAAACACGAGCTGGGGAGTGGATTAGCAAGGAGGTAAAAAACATGAGTGATGTCCCTTGAGGAAACTTGTAGAATCCAAGACCAGGGAAATATCCTACCCCAAGAATAACCTCACCCTTGAATAACTGATGGGCACTGCCTCGCACCTGCCACAGCACCACTCATGCTTCAGCCAGAGACATCTATGCTCCTTATCTCCTTGAACTCCACTGTGGCCCCAAGGTACAGTTGTCATAATTGAGGCAGGATTTGTTATTATCCATGTTATGGATTAGGCAACTGAGGCTTAGACAGCTCAAACCCATCCAGACTGGATCACAGACCAGAGACAGCCACCCAGGCCTCATCCTACCTGCCCTTCTGTAGTTCCCAGAGTTCACCCTGCCTCTGCCCTCAATGCCCCACAAGGCCCCAGTCCTCAGACACACATTGGTATTCAAGTCACCAATGTCATCTCAGAAGTAGGTGAGGGAAGAATGGCAGTGTGTGGGGACGTGGAATGAGGGCCCACAATTTTGGATGTTTCCCTGGTTAAGCATTGAGGGGTCTCAGCCATGTGTGACATGGCGTCTGGGCACCCTGGCTGCGGACAAATCACAGTAACTCTCTCTTTTCTTCTGTGTGTGTTTCTTTGTGTGTGTGTTTTATCTCATAGAAGAGCGTGATTTTTCCTCTGAGGCTGCTGATCTCCAACACGGAACAAAAGGGAAAAAGGGGCCAGCACAAAGCCACCCCCAACACCCAGCGTGGTATCTCCCGTGCTGGGACCAGGGATGACTGGGCCATGGACTCAGATGTCACCAACCTTCAACCGTTCGCATAGCACACGGGGGACTTGTGGGGGACACCTGCCACTGCCAACTGAAATAATACAATGGCAATACTGACATCCCTCCTGACGTTTTCCCGACAGACATTCAGGCAGAAAGTGCTGGTGCATTTTCTGTCTGCCAAGTAGAGGGCCATGGCTCACCAATATGAATAGCTTGGGCCCCAATGACCTGCTCTGAGTCCACTCGCAGACAGTGACACTTGCAAAAAACTCCCAAAGCCGTCTCAGATTTGGCTTCTGCAGCTCCTGGCCAATGTGGCTAAAGCTGAACACCTCCTTGGGACACTTGGATCATTCGTAAATGCAGCCTGCCCTGACTCTCCCTGAATAGCATCTGAAGTCTCTAGGAAGGTCATGGATCCTGAACCAAGTATCAAGGGTACCAAGAAGGCTGAGGGAAGTCCCCGGAAGAGGCTGACCAAAGGAGAGGCCATTCAGACCAGTGTTTCTTCTAGTGTCCCATACCCAGGCAGCGGCACAGCCCCTGCCCAAGAGAGCCCCGTGCAAGAGCTCCTAGCCCCGCAGCCCTTCCCGGGCCCCTCATCCATTCTTAGGGAAGGCTCTCAGGAGAAAACGGGCCAGCAGCAGAAGCCACCTAAGAGGCCCTCCATCGAATCCTCCGTCCACATCTCACAGCTTCCACAGCACCCTCTGACACCAGCATTCATGTCACCCGGCAAACCCGAGCACCTCCTGGAGGGTTCCACATGGCAGCTGGTCGACCCCATGCGGCCTGGACCCTCAGGCTCCTTTGTGGCCCCTGGTCTCCATCCTCAGAGCCAGCTGCTGCCCTCCCATGCCTCCATCCTTCCCCCCGAGGACCTGCCTGGCATCCCCAAAATCTTCGTGCCTCGCCCCTCCCAGGTCTCCGTGAAGCCCGCAGAAGAGGTGCACAAGAAGGAGAGGAAACCACAGAAACCAGGCAAGTATATCTGCCAGTACTGCAGCCGGCCCTGCGCCAAGCCCAGCGTGCTGCAGAAGCACATACGCTCACACACGGGGGAGAGGCCCTACCCCTGCGGCCCCTGCGGCTTCTCCTTCAAGACCAAGAGTAACCTCTACAAGCACAGGAAGTCCCATGCCCACCGTATCAAAGCGGGCCTGGCCTCCGGCATGGGCGGCGAGATGTACCCCCAGGGGCTGGAGATGGAGAGGCTCCCCGGGGAAGAGTTTGAGGAGCCCACTGAGGGAGAAAGCACAGATTCTGAAGAGGAAACCGGTGCCACCTCTGGGCACCCCGCAGAGCTCTCCCCCAGGCCCAAGCAGCCCCTTCTCTCCAGCGGGTTGTACAGCTCTGGGAGCCATGGGTCCAGCCTCGAACGCTGTTCCTTGACCCAGTCCAGCTCAGCCCTGTCTCTTGAGGACCCCCCTCCATTTGTGGAACCCTCATCTGAACACCCCCTGAGCCATAAACCCGAAGACACCCACACGATTAAGCAGAAGCTGGCCCTCCGCTTGAGTGAGAGGAAGAAGGTAATTGACGAGCAGGCCTTTCTGAGCCCAGGCAGCAAGGGGAGTACAGAGTCTGGGTATTTCTCCCGCTCTGAGAGCGCAGAGCAACAGGTCAGCCCTCCAAACACCAACGCCAAGTCCTATGCTGAGATCATCTTTGGCAAGTGCGGGCGGATGGGGCAGCGGACCTCCATGCTGACAGCCACCTCCACCCAGCCACTGCTGCCCCTGTCCACTGAAGACAAGCCCAGCCTGGTGCCTTTGTCTGTGCCCCGCACGCAGGTGATCGAGCACATCACAAAGCTCATCACCATCAACGAGGCTGTGGTGGACACCAGCGAGATAGACAGTGTGAAGCCAAGGCGCAGCTCTCTGTCCAGACGCAGCAGCATGGAATCCCCCAAGTCCAGCCTCTACCGGGAGCCCCTGTCATCCCATAGCGAGAAAACCAAGCCGGAACAATCACTGCTGAGCCTGCAGCACCCGCCCAGCACCGCCCCCCCTGTGCCTCTGCTGAGAAGCCACTCAATGCCTTCTGCCGCCTGCACTATCAGCACCCCTCACCACACCTTCCGAGGTAGCTACTCCTTCGATGACCACATTGCCGACACCGATGCCCTGAGCCGCAGCAGTCAAGTGTTTACCTCCCACCCCCGGATGCTGAAGCGCCAGCCAGCAATCGAATTACCTTTGGGAGTGGAGTACAGTTCCGAGGAGGCTGGACCAAGTAGCAAAGACACAGCCTCCAAACCCTCAGAAGAACCGGAACCCAAGGAAAGTGAACTTAGTAAAAAGAGCAAGAAGGGTTTGAAAACAAAAGGGGTGATCTATGAATGTAACATATGTGGTGCTCGGTACAAGAAAAGGGATAACTATGAAGCCCACAAAAAGTACTATTGCTCAGAGCTTCAGATCACAAAGCCCATCTCTGCAGGTGCTCACGCATCTCTGGAAGTTGAAAAGAGTCAGGCTGAGCATGAGCCGTGGTCCCAGATGATGCATTATAAACTGGGGACCACCTTGGAACTCACGCCACTGCGGAAGAGGAGGAAAGAGAAGAGCCTGGGGGATGAGGAAGAGCCACCTGCCTTTGAGTCGACAAAAAGTCAGTTTGGCAGCCCCGGGCCCTCCGATGCTGCTCGGAACCTTCCCCTGGAATCCACCAAGTCACCAGCAGAACCAAGTAAATCAACGCCCTCTTTGGAGGGACCCATGGGCTTCCAGCCAAGGACTCCAAAGCTAGGGTCCAGCTCAGAATCAGGGAAGGAGAGGAGAGCCACGTCCAAAGAAATTTCTGTCATCCAGCATACCAGCTCCTTTGAGAAGTCTGACTCTCTCGAGCAGCCCAGTGGCCTGGAAGGGGATGACAGACCTCTGGCCCCATTCCCATCTCCCCCACTTGCCCCACACGGACGCTCGGCTCACTCCCTGCAGCCCAAGTTGGTCCGCCAGCCAAACATTCAGGTTCCTGAGATCCTGGTGACTGAGGAGCCCGACCGGCCAGACACAGAGCCTGAGCCGCCCCCTAAGGAACCCGAGAAGACAGAGGAGTTCCAGTGGCCCCAGCGCAGCCAGACACTTGCCCAGCTCCCGGCCGAGAAGCTGCCACCCAAGAAGAAGAGACTACGCCTGGCAGAGATGGCCCAGTCATCAGGGGAGTCCAGCTTCGAGTCCTCTGTGCCACTGTCTCGCAGCCCGAGCCAGGAGAGCAGCATCTCTCTGAGTGGGTCTAGCCGCTCTGCTTCCTTTGAGAGGGATGACCATGGGAAGGCTGAGGGCCCCAGTCTCTCATCTGACATTCGCTCTAAACCCTTGGGCACCCACATGCTGACTGTGCCCAGCCACCACCCGCATGCCCGAGAGATGCGGAGGTCAGCCTCAGAGCAGAGCCCCAACGTTTCCCATTCTGCCCACATGACTGAGACTCGCAGCAAATCTTTTGACTATGGCAGCTTGTCCTTGACAGGCCCTTCTGCACCAGCTCCAGCAGCCCCTCTGGCACCAGTGGCCCCACCAGAGAGAAGAAAATGCTTTTTGGTGAGACAGGCCTCTCTGAGCAGGCCTCCAGACACAGAGCTGCAGGAGGCTACCCCCAAGGGAAGACCAGAGAGTGAGGAACCATCACCCTCATCCAGTAAACCTGCTGCCAAAAGCTCATTGCCCCAGACTTCTGCAGCAGGTGCCCTGCACGGTGGGCACCCAGGAGGCAAGAGCCAGGGGCAGGACAGACCCCCACTGGGGCCCACTACACCCTACACAGAAGCACTGCAGGTGTTTCATCACCCCACAGCCCAGCCTTCCTTGCATGAGAAGCCATACCTCCCCCCGCCTGTCTCCCTTTTCTCCTTCCAGCACCTCTTACAGCATGAGCCGGGACAGTCCTCAGAATTCTTCTCCACCCAGACCATGTCCAGCCTCCTCTCCCCACCATACTCTGTGCCCCCACTCCCTCCCTCCTTATTTCAAGCCCCACCACTTCCTCTTCAACCTGCTGTTCTGCACCCAGGCCAACTGCATCTCCCCCAGCTCATGCCTCACCCAGCCAGCATCCCTTTTCAGGAGCCCCCTTCTTTTCTCCCCATGCCATACCCTCCTTCCTCAGCACTTTCTTCTGGATTTTTCCTGCCTCTGCGATCCCAGTTTGCGCTTCAGCTCCCAGGCAATGTGGAAAGCCATCTGCCCCAGATCAAAACCAGCCTGGCCCCTCTGGCAACAGGGAGTGCTGATCTCTCGCCCAGCACAGAGTATAGCAGTGACATCCAGCTGCCCCCCATTCCTCCCCCACCCAGCACCTCAGCTCCCACATCAGCCCCTCCACTGGCCCTGCCTGCTTGTCCAGATGCCATGGTGTCCTTGGTTGTACCTGTCCGTGTTCAGACCAACATGCCATCCTATGGGAGCGCAATGTATACCACTCTTTCCCAGGTCTTGGTCACCCAATCCCAAGGAAGCTCAGCAACTATGACTCTTCCCAAGTTTGAGGAGCCCCCATCCAAAGGAAAGACAGTGTGTGTGGCAGACGTGCATGAGGTTGTGCCTGGGCCATCTGGGTTAAGTGAAGAGCAAAGCAGAGCTCTTCCAACTCCATACCTGAGAGTGCCTGTGACATTACCTGAAAGAAAAGGCACTTCCCTGTCATCAGAGAACATCTTAAGCCTAGAAGGAGGTTCATCAACAGCAGGGGGAAGCAAACGTGTTCTTTCACCAGCTGGCAGCCTTGAACTTACCATGGAAACCCAACAGCAAAAAAGGGTGAAAGAGGAAGAAGCTTTCAAGGCAGATGAAAAACTTGAGCTAGTAAAACCATGCAGTGTGGTGCTTACCAGCACTGAGGATGGGAAAAGACCAGAGAAATCCTCAGGCAGCCAGGGACAGGGCAGGAGGGAGCTAGAAATGCTGTCTTCAAATCCATCTGACCCAAAGGAAATTCCGACCCTCCCACACTCCACATTGCCCCATGGGACAGCCCCAGACTCAGAAGCTTTGAAAGAATATTCCCAGCCCTCTTGCAAACCTCATCGAAGAGGGTTGCCCACACTGAAGAAAGAAGATTCCAAGGAACAACCTGACCTCCCTCCCCTGGCACCTCCCAGCTCTCTGCCTCTGTCAGAAATGCCCTCCAGACCAGCCAAATTGCAAGAAGGTACAGACTCAAAGAAGGTACTGCAGTTCCCCAGCCTCCACACAACCACTAATGTCAGTTGGTGCTATTTAAACTACATTAAGCCAAATCACATCCAGCATGCAGATAGGAGGTCCTCTGTTTACGCTGGTTGGTGCATAAGTTTGTACAACCCCAACCTTCCGGGGATTTCCACTAAAGCTGCTTTGTCCCTCCTGAGGTCTAAGCAGAAAGTGAGCAAAGAGACATACACCATGGCCACAGCTCCACATCCTGAGGCAGGAAGGCTTGTGCCATCCAGCTCCCGCAAGCCCCGCATGACAGAGGTAAGTTCAGCCTTGTTTTTCTTCCCACTACTGAGTATAAAAGTCCTTGCTGAGCTTTTAAAGCCACACTTTCCTTAGGTTCCATTTGCAGAACTAGAGCCAGATGAGTGGGTAGATTTCCTCTCTGGGAGCTGAAACTAGCCACATTAGCGTGTTTATTTGATTTCTTTGTCAGTGTCTGCCTCACATCATCAGAACATTTCAGTGAAGTTAGATGTAAAGTGGTCCTGCTTTCCCATGAGCTTCTATTATAAAGTCAAAGATACAATCTCAGCAAGAAAAAAAGCAATTCTCCAAAAGACTGAGTTGGAAAATTTGACCAATAGGAATGCCTACAGGCATTCTACAGCAATTTTAGGACTTTATCCCACTCCTTCAGTTAAAATATCACAGCATTGTTCTCTCTTGTCTTGTTACTCTTTTCCTGCTTTTCTTATTCCCTACGTCTATTATTTCCATTCTCTAGTACCACTTGAAATCTTCCCATTTCCAGAGATGCTAGAATTTGACACAACTCCTGAAATACTCCTTTATTTTCTGCGAGTAGGACATCATACATGTATAGAGAGCTGAGCTGCAGTATCCCTCTTTAAATGAAAATATCGCTCAAGTTTGACCCATCTATATGCTATGTAGTAGTGTTAGGCCCTCACTAAGGACTTGTACAAACACCTGCATTGCCTCTCACCTGAGGTTACATCAATCAGGAGCTATAAATTTTCCTGGAAAGAGGTCCTGGAAATTCAGGAATTCCAAATTTGCCTCAGACAAAAGACACTTCCATACACTGACAAGGCCAGCCTAGGGGTTCAATACATAATATGTTCTGCTAATTTGGCATTTGTGAAATAACAACAATTGGTCTTGTCTATTGTGCAGCCCCACTGCTCACTGTGCTGGGCTTTTGAATCCAGTTATTGCTCACCTCCACTTGTGAGATAGAGTTACCATCCCTATTGTATACATTAGGGAACCAAGGGTCAGAGACTGAGCAAGGTCAAGGTCACATGGCAAATGTTTGACAGACCCAGAATTGGAACTCAGACCTGTTTGACTCCAAAGATGCTATTGTCCTTCTTTTAATTATTTGAGGAGGGAAACCTTAAAAGATGATTGCAAATTGGGCAGTGCCTGTGGCTCAAAGGAGTAGGGTGCTTGCCCCATATACTGGAGGTGGTGGGTTCAAATCCAGCCCTGGCCAAAAACTGCAAAAAAATAAAAAAAAGATGATTGCAAATTTAAAGATGTTCATTAACATGTCTTCAGACCAGATAGATACTTTGATAATATCAAGCTTAAATCCTCTAACCTAAATTCATATTGCAGAAAAGTGAGCAAAACTGTATTTTATAACTTCCCATACATTCATATCTTCCTCTTCTTTTGTCACTGAGTAAATGTTGTGCATTGAATTTGTTCTTAGCTTGGCCAGATATTCTTCACAGAACTACTTCCCAAATTTGTTCTCTGGAGGTCTTTGTCCCAGTCCACAGCCATCCCTGACCAAGGGTTCCACTTCCGCCATAAACATCACACTGATTTGCTCTCAAGTGTCTCTTTTAAGCTGTATTTTAAGGCCACTTCCAAGATGCTATTGTAATTATATTCATGCTTATAACTTTTGGGGTATCTACTATGCTAAACTTTTATCTTCATAACCACCTTGAAAATTTGTATGCAATATCATCATTTTTGGATAAGGAGACCAAGACACAAAAAGATTAAGTAAGTTGCACAAAACCACATGGTACATGCCACAGCCTGGATGCAAAATTAGGTCTCACTCCAAAGCCATTTCTGATGATTGAAAATTACACAAATTCTTTTTTAAGGAAAAGACAGCATTAGTTTGGTTTAATTGGATCTGGAAATTATTTGTTTAAAATGCATCTTTCTTAAAATAAGCTAAAACATGCAAACTTTTCCTTGGAATTTTTTATTTGGTTCAGTGGTATGTTTCCTGCCAAAAGTGCACCAGTTGAATAAGTTAATGTACCTGCATGGTCTGTGACTTGAGGACTTTATACAATTACCCCTTTGGCCTCTGCTTACATATCTGCAGTGATGGAGAGCTTACTATCTCCTGACACGACCCAATCCATCTTTGGATGGTGCTTTAAGAACGTTCTTTATTATAATGAGATGACATTTCTCACCTTGTAGCTTCCATTGTCGATTAGTAGTTCTGAAAATGTCCTTTGTCTTACTTAGCATTTTGAAGCCCTTCCTAACCATCTTCCTGAAGGTCTTGCTCAACCTATTATGTTTGAACTTGGTCATAGATTTTTTTTTCTATGTATAATCCCTGGAGAAACCCAAGCTTGTTTAAGAGTCTGCTCTGTGGCCTCATGGCTTTCCCTAACCTTCTCCTTCCATTTGTTCTCCTTGGAGATTATTTGGACAACCACATAGCACTGTAACAAAGAGATTAAGAACAAAGGATTGAGGTGAGAAGTTGCCTAGATTTGAATCTCACTACCCAACCTATAGCTACACGACCTTGGGCCAATAACTTAACCTCTCTGTGTCTTGTTTTCTTCATCTATAAAATAGAGACAATAATTATACTTACCTTATAGTACTGTGGGGATAATTAAATGAGTTAAAATATGCAAAGCATACTTAGAACAGTAAGCATGATGTTGGCTCTCTGTAAATGTTTTTAGCTATGCTTATTCACATTATTATCATTGAAAGCCAGAATGGATTCCTGGTCCCTGTGCAATCCCAACACTGTGCTTCCTGGTAGAGTGGCATGAATTGCCACCCAAACCAGCCTCCTCCAGCTTAGCTCAGACATCACAGCAAGATGTGAGGGAGAAGCAGTTCCTTTACCTGTTGGAGGCCCATTGGCCATTTCATGATTGTCTAGAAGATCACAGGCAAGGGTGAGAGTGGAAAGTGTGCTCTGGAAACCCACAGGTAAATCAGCTGCCTTCTGCCAGAGCATCAGTCTAAATTCTTGCTTGGCTTCTACTCCCCACTTCCAATTCTGAAGACGTTAGTTGAGGGTTGGTCACCAAATCATAGAAATAGGTCCTGGAATGAATCTTCATGATGCTCTAAACCCCCTCAGACTCTGAGTTGAGGCCCAGAGGGGTGATTGAGCATGCGGTGGTGCTAGAACTCAGATTCCCTAATTCCCAACCAAGTGCCCTTCTGCCTAACCCAATCTTTCCTGGTAGGAGCAGGGGTGGTGGGTGGTATAGGGGACTGAAGTTCTTAGATTATCCTAGCAGTGGGAAACGTGGTGATTCTCCCACCAACTGGAAACAGCATAGCTTCCCATGACCTCATAGATGGTGGCATGAAGTAGGTAGGATGAAATTCTCACTCCTGGCACTGCTGACCCCACACACCAGCACAGTATCTTTGCTCCCTACTCCTGCCACTACTGGAGGGTTTAGAGGACATGTTCTTGAGATAACAGGAGCTGTGAGGGAGCTCAAGATCAATGCCAGCGTCCTTATTAAGTCAGCTCTTATCATTGAGGTCCATAGCTCTGTAGAGAGTATGGGTTCCCTTAGATCCACACACAGAGCCCACATAGCCTCCTTATGCATGGGGCCCTCAGGCTGCCTCCTGGCCTTTGTTACTAGCTCAGCAAGGCAAGGGTCCTTAAGCAGAGACCTGTGCTCTGCTCTCAGCACTGCCCCTTACTTCCTAGGTGACCTTGGCTTTCTGATCTATGAACAAGAATTGGACCAGTTAAGTTCCAAAGGCAGAACACAGATTTCATTTCTTTGATCCACATTCTTCTCTGAAATGGGCCCTGTTTGGAGTTCTGGGGCAATGGAGGAGACCTAGATGAAGACCCCTCCCCAGGAGCTCCCAGACTAGTATAGAAGGACAGTTGGCAAACACAGGTCTTGTGGGAAAGTTAACTCAAAAATTCTTTGACACCAGCTAACCATGTGGCCTTGGGGAAGCAACTCCTCTTTGGGAATCCATGTCCTTAATTCTGTGAAGTGGGGCTAATCACCTCTTCAGAGAGGAGTGTGAAGACTGAGGATAGGGGAGAGAGGGTGCCAGGGAAGGCATCATATTATCGTGATGATATTGCCCCTGACTAAGGATGAAAACGTAACCAGCAATGATTTTGTCATTCCTTCACTGGGCCAGGTTCACCTCCCTTCGCTGGTTTCCCCAGAAGGCCAGAAAGATCTAGCTAGAGCAGAGAAGGAAGAAGAGAGGAGAGAGGAGCCAGAGGAGGAGGCTCCTGCCTCCCAGAGAGGGGAGCCGGTGAGGATCAAAATCTTCGAAGGAGGGTAAGAACTGTTTGGTTTTCACAGTCTGGTGGCCGTTCTGTGTCCGGGGGCGGCAAGTGTCTCACTTGGCAGAGCTGTGCCCACAGGTGCCCTGTGGCCCTAGCAGTGCCTTTCAGCAGACACCACCTTGGTGGGACTCTCAGGCCCATCTGTCTGACAGCACCGGGGGCCTCTTTGGTAGGGATGGGCCTTGCGGGGTATTTGTTGAGGATTGGAAGCGGCGGCATGTCACCTCTCAGCATCCTGGTTTTCTGCGGAACACGCAGTCTCTGATGTTCACGGGGCCAACCACACGTTGTGCGCACCTACTGTTGACAAGGGCCCCCATTCTGACTGGCTGGGGCCGAGGGCTCATTGGTTGTGAACACTCTGAATATCATCCCTAGTTATTCACCTTTGATGCTTGTCTTTGGGAACCTCACGATCTAAACATCTCAGAACTCACATTTTGGGAGATCCTCTGGGCTCTCAGAGGGTGCCTTATTTCAGATGTGCATTGTGGAATTTTTGTGCCAACTGTGTTCTGTGTGGCCACGTGTTTGCCCCCTGGGTTTTGGGTGTATGTGAGCAGGTCCCGTGGCGTCTGTCTCAGGGTCCTGTGTCTGTGTCCCTGGTGTGATCAGGGTGGCCATGGTATTGAAGTTAGGGGAAAACTTAACCTCCCGAAGAGGACAGTCCCTGTGCACCTTGGCCAACATGGGCTGTCATGGAGACCTCTGAGTTTCCAGCATACAGCTCTCAGGGTCTAACTGGGACATGTGGGAGTTCTCTGTAAGGTTTGGGGACTGCAGAGATGGCCATCCTCTGGTGGCACTGACCAGCAGGGGCTCTCAGGAAAGGGGGTGTCTCGAAACATGGAAGCAGGGTTGTCACAGTGATGGAGAGGACATCTGGCAAATAGCCCTGAAACATGATGCTTCTGAAGACCAATAGTGGCTCTGTTGAGAAACACTGCACCAAAGGTCTGTCAAAATGCTAACCTCGCTCCCTGTGGGATGGGCGGGTTTCCTCTCCTGCTGCGTGGTTAGAGCGCCCTCGTGTGTCTCTGTGTTCTCCTACCACGGGCTCCCTGAAAGGCCACACAGAGGCTTGAAACCAGGAGTGATGGCTGGTCACAGCAACTGTCCCGGGTCCTCTTGCTTCCCAGGCTCAGGGGCAGCGAGGGGATGCAGAGCTTCCTTCCACTCCCAGCAGCCTTCTGGGTGTGTGAAGAGGTTTGCTTCTGCCCTGAGAGGCAGGCACCGCCAGGCTGGGCACCTGGTTCCCTGAGACCACCTCCTGCTGCCCTCATCCCCTGGGGAAGCCTGAGCCTCAGAAGGGCAGCTGGCAGAAGCCGCCCCCGCCCATCCAGCCATCTGCTGGGAGTCTCTGCCTGCAAGGTAGGCCTTCCACTGAAAGGGGAAAGATTACACCTGCGCCTTGCTCCTCCTCCATCCCTTACAGGTCTCCCCACCTGGTCTGTTTCAGAATCTCCTTCTGAACAGATTCTATCATCCTTGGCAAACAGGTGTCACACTTACCTCTGTTCCCCTTGCCCCCACTGAGACTAACCCCTCCCACCTCTCCAACTCCCAGTTTCCCTGTTTGTAAAAGGGGATATTACTAGCACATCCTGTGGGATTTTCTGAGGACCCCATGAGACCCCTGTGCTCGCTGTGGTTCCCAGGTGCTCAGCAGACATCCATGCGCGTTATCATTGGTATATTCATCTCTTTTGTCTCCTACCACAATAATCTCATTTTGTTCCTCCAGCTGTAGAAAATATCCTCTTTCAATTTGTCACTCCAATTTGAGCGCGTAAAGGGTTTGTGTAGTGTCACCAGTCAGCTCCTTTTCTCTTCCAACCTGACTGTCCTGGCTGGGCCCCCTCTGTACCTCCCCTCCCACCCCCACTCCTGGCAATCACTCTACATCCACATTTCTCTTGGGGCTGGCATCACCCCCCAGGGGTGTTTGGAAATGGAGGGGGAGAAGGAGGATGATGTTAGGGTTGTCATATAACTGGGGGCCCCTCTGGCATTTCACGAATAGAGCCAGGGATGCTGATAACCATCCATTCAACCCACCATATAACCACATGTCCCTTCAACTTGCCAATGCGCCCTCGGCCCAGAAACAATGAGTCTTGGGCTGTTCTGGAGCAGATTCAACTATGGGCATACCAGGTTTTTGCCTTAGACTCAGTTCTTCCTTTTATTTGTTTTCTTTCTTTGTTAACACATGAACATTTCAATTTTACTCTAGCACGTATCTGTGACAGTTCTGCAATGGAGCTCTGTTCCTTGGACCTACTGAGGAATCCAGGCTGGTGGCGGCCAAGAGGAGAAGGAAATAAAAAGAGAGAGAGAGAGAGAGAATCGTGCATTGGCTCTTACGGCTTCCACCCAGAAGCTTCTGCTCATACTTACTGGCAGAGCAAGTTACATGGCTGCGTCTAACTCCACAGGAGTAGGGAAACACAGTCCTACTTTGGGTTTGGGAGAACAGGAACTATTTGGTGGGAAGGGCTGAGGACCCGCCGATCAGTTTAATGTATGCCTGGTATGTTCACTCAGCAGCGTTTCTGAGATGTATTCATGTTGGTGCATGTAGATCTAGTTTGTAATGATGGCGCAGGAAGCCACAGACAAAAGAGTAGGTACTGTCTGGTGCGTCCAACATCTGGGTCTTCCTATCACTAATTAAGCCCTCCTTACTCTTTTTCTGGACATCCTATCTAGCAACTGATTAATTTATCAATCCATCAAGGAAGATCAGTGCTATATGGGGTGTTCTATCTCAGAAGAGGCAGTGACCCAAACAGGTTAATGACTGTCATCCTGCCCTCAAGGTTCATGGAGTCTGTGCCAAGGCCACAGCACAAGGTCCAGTGCTGGGGTGGGAATGGCCAGGGCTGAGATGCACACAGCCAGAGGGATTTCTGGGGGCTGGAGTGGCCCGAGAGGGCTTGGTGCAGGGGGCGGGGCCAGGCCTGGACCGGTGGGTGAGACTCACACCCGTGGAGAGGTGGGGTAGGTGGGTCAACAGTCTTGGTGTGGTGGCAAGTCAGGTACCTGATCTCTGGGACTCATTTCCTCTCACCTTGATCATTCTCCCTTTGCTGATGTCATCTGTTTCCTTGGCTTCAAGTCTTATCACTGTGCAGCGGCTACCCCTAGGTTTCCAGCCAGGCCCTCACTCCTAAGTGGCAGACTATTAGTTTTGATGTCTCTTGTGCATCTTTGCCCAGGAGACCTATGCATGCCAAACTCAGCATGGGGCAGCCAAGCCCTCCATGTCCACCAATAGCACCTCCTTCCACTTCTAAATCCCAGATGACCTACCAAGCCCTTCACACTCAAAGCTTTCTTCCCCTCCTTCCAAATTCTGGCATCCACACAAAGTAGTCAGTGATCCAATGTGGTTTTTCTTTGCTCCCTTGGCCACTACTCTGGCTGCTCTCTCTCCTGGCCTCTGATGTCGGTGCCACTGAGTGTCTTTAAACATAGTTCAGCCTGTGGCATGACTCCACTCCAGAGCCTTCTGTGGCTGCCTGACCTACAGGATCTGGTTTAAACTCAGCCTGGCAGTTCTGGCCCCACAGTCTGACCCACTCTACCTTCTGCGGCCTGCTGGGCTCTGCCCATTGCAAATCTTACCCAGCCTTCAGAGGCCAGAACTCAGCCCCTTTCCTCTAACAGCCCTCCCAGAAGCCTCCACACTGGAGTGTTCTGTTATTTCTGCCATAACACTAGTGCCTGAATCTATTCCTGCCTCTCCAAGTCCCTTCTTGACTTGAGTCCTTGGACAGTGCTCTGCACACATTGGATATTGACCCCTGTGGACCCCTGCATGGATTTCCTGGCGCAGGCTGCACCTCCCCATCACTTCCACACCTGAACAAGGCCTGCACCTCTCAAGCCTCTGGGAGTGCCCACCAGGACCGAGGTGGTTCTCTTACCCAGCACCCTTACATTCATTGCCTTCGTGGTGTAGAAGGGCTCTTTTGTAAAGCAGTGTTATTTTCATACATACAAAGTTATATTGTTCCTTGAGGGTAATGACTGTATTGTCCTAGCTCAAGTTCACTTGTTTTTTGTTTTTTGTTTTTTTTTGAGACGGAGCCTCAAGCTATCCCCCTGAGTAGAGTGCCATGGCATCACGCTCACAGCAACCTCCAACTTCTGGGCTCAAGCGAGTCTCCTGCCTCAGCCTCCCAAGTAGCTGGGACCACAGGCCCCCGCCACAACACCTGGCCATTTTTTGGTTGCAGCCATCATTGTTGTTTGGCAGGCCCGGGCTGGGGATTCGAACCCGCCACCTTAGGTGTATGTGGCTGGCGCCTTAGCTGCTTGAGCCACAGGCGCCGAGCCTCAAGTTCACTTGTTGCAAGGAAAGCTGGGAACTCCTTACTGTGGACTGATGTGGAAAAAGAAGATATTGGAATTGAACTACCCAGCTGCCAAAAGTGGTCATCCAAGCCCAGTTGGGGGTGGGTGGTCAGTGCTTATTAAGTCCAAAGGGAATGATGAAGTCAGATGCACCATCCAGGGAAACTAGGTCCAGCTGGGGTAGAGGTATTCAGAACGTGGCCATGGGCGGGGAACAGAAAGGGGTGGCTCGGGTTTGGGGAGGCAGCTCCACCTCAGCTGGGACCTGGAGTGCAGCCAGGCAGATGCCCAGTTGTTGGCTGAGCCAGTGGGTGTAGGGCAGGGTGACTCTCAGTCATGGAGTTGCCCAGGGCTGCCCCAGCCATCAGACCTTTAGCAGAAGTCCATGCCCGACCCCAGGGTTGCTTTCCTGGACCGCTCAGTTACTGCACCAAAGCTTAAGATTTCTGCCTTAAAATACAGGCCTTTAGTGAAAGGGCCACATCACCAGATATTTCTGTTCCCTTCAAAGAAAAACTCATAAGGAGCTAACTGTATTGCTCACCCACCTGTCTTTCCTCCCCTCCTCCTCGTACCCATTCCAGTTCGGGCCCCTCACACCTCGGAAGCAACCTGGTCCAGGTCAGCAGT